TTGGGGGAGCGACCAACACAAAGACCAAGCATTTTGCCAGTAGTTGTGCCTCCTATCTTCATACTCCACCCTTATCGAGTAACAGCAGTGTTTAAGGTCAACACTTTGCCACACAACACAAAGCGCTCCCCCCCCCCCCCACTGCCATAGCCATGATGGCAAAATACCCTACAAATACCAACCAGGGGGAGCAAGCCAACTATTTGAGATGGTTGGCAACTTGCCACCAGACGTTCCCCAGGCGGTCAATGGAGATTGAACCCACATCCTTTTGAATGCTACTTGCATGCCCAACTGAGTGCTCGGTACAGACAAAATTAGAATGGCCCCTGTGCAAAGAACCGAGGCTGCAAGGTGCATTCAGAAGGTCGTTGGCTCAATTACCATTGGCCCACCGTACAGGCATGGGCATTGACAAGACCTTGGGCCACATTTCAGGGTGCATAGGCTTTGTGCAAGCAGCGTGCATAGTCTTGATGCAAGTAAAGGTGCAGCAACTGGCGACCATGGTTGGCACCAGCACTGTCCGTGTTCCCCCACCCAAGATTCCCACCCAACGCTCCCCATATCATCGTGATGAGGCGCTTGTACAGCTTACCCCTTGTACACCCCCCCCCCTTGTCCTGATTCCCCTTGCACCAGCAGTCTTCGGAGCCAACCAACCCCTCGGGTCAGGGAGCGTAATGGGTTGGTGGGTGTTTCTCTGGTTGAGTGCAAACACAAGAGAGATGAGAGACATGAAGAAGTGAAAATAGCAAAGCACTGACGGAGTCGAAGAAACAGAATTGAACAAAACGGAGGTGCCAGAAAACATCATTGGATTATCTCAGAGGCAATACTCGCACTCTGGATGTGATTGCTGACAGGTTCGTGCAAACCTGGCGGTGATTGCCGCCAGATGCATTTGGACACCGCTAGTGTGACTACGCCCTCAGCGCGGATCCTGGACCCATTTCCAGCGCAAACCGAAGGCAGGTAATAGCCCCAGTATGCCTGGGTCGTTTGCAACAATTCCTGGCCAACAACCTAAAAACAAACACAGAGAAGAGGAAGCCGAAACGGCGGTGTACAACAAGGACCACAAATTGCATCAACAAAAAAGAAGTTGGCCTTGCACTGTAAAAAACTGGATCGCTAGACTTGCAACAGCAAATGACATTGCCTGCAAAACTGTTCAATCTAGCGAAAAGATAGTGAACGATAGTTTAAACCACCCGTACTTCAGAGGCACTTTTCTCCAGGGCTGGAAATGCCCTGCGCGCCAAAACAATAATTTAAATGACCAGATTGCATAGAAAAAAGAAGAAATACCAATACGGAAAGAACAGGAACTTGAAGTCGTCTCCCAATCTGACAAACAGGACCACTAGACTTGCAGAGCAGCAGCAGCAACAACATTTGACTGCAAAACTATCCAATCAATCAAGCAAAAAGATAGTGAAAGACTGTAAAACCACCAGTACTTCCGAGGCACTTTTCTCCAGGGCTGGAAATGCCCTGCACACCCCAAAAAAATAAACCGGTATGGGCCTCCTTCTTTTAGCTGGCCCTGCCGGTCATTTCGCTCCAGAGGCTGAGTCCTGAAAGTTACCGCCGAACGCACGTCACGACTTTCAAAAAAATAGCTACGAAACGTAATGGCGGTTTAAAACCACCAATACTTGGCCCAGTTATCCGCCAAGAAAAATAGAGTAGAAACATTTATAGTCGGATGAATTTGTGCGCTTCTATAACGGCCCGTACGATTCCTAAAATCGTGGCTTGTTTACAGGCACGACTTCAGGATGAATTTGGGCACTCCTGTAGTGGCCCGTACATTTCCTAAAATTGTCGCGTGTTTACGGGGCATGTCTCTAGGAAGTGCTGGTTGTTTAAGACCCACTGAGCACATCCCCACAAACTTAGCGGTATGCAAGGGTGCGGCAGGGTGCGCCCGTACTGGACTGGCAACGCCTTGAGAAAAAATCGCCACTGGTGCTGTTGACTGCTATTCGTCTGCTCCCATCCTTCTTTGCTCAGTTTATTGTGATTGGGTCGGTGTAGTCTTATTTTTCCTTTAAAAACAAAGGAAAAACTGGATCATGCTCCAATCTACTTGTGGGGAGCAACACGTGCTGGGAACAGGGTCCAACGTCCCTTATGAAAATACAAAGAACAATTGGAGATTCGGGGACCACTACCCGGCTCCGGCTGTTATTTTCGCTGAAAACCACAGATCAAAGCACTCAGATGAATCTCCGAAACAGATCCCAGCCCATAACCCATGATTACATTTCCCGCAGATTTGTGTTCCCACGTGACCATTAATGCAACGTGTCTTTTCGTGGCTCAGCCCACAGAATGGAAAAGGCTAGAAGCGTCAGGCAAAAAGCTTCAATTTCATGTCCACGTTCGCTACACAAAAGGCTCGGACATGCTGGTTGTTTTAACCGAACCGAACTGCTCAGTGAAAAAGACGCTGTCAAGTTTTAACCGAGCTACTCGACCAATTACCGGACTTCCCAACCACACTGCCTTATCTCTTTTTCCATCAATAGTACTCGTGCAAACGAGCACCATTCTACTGAAGCGGTCCCCGCCGCCCCGTCCCCCCCACCCCCTGTATAGCGTGCGTTAGTAGACGTAGGTAGATAGCAAAACGTGAACTTGAGAGAAGAATATAGCTGAGTTACAACCGCAACAACAACAACAACAACAACAACAACAACAACAATAACCAAATGGTGACTGCAGACAACCAAGTGTTGGCACCACCTGGCACGATTACACTGCCCCAATCGAGTTCTTTTCACGAATCTCAACCAACAGCTGTGTTGCCCTCCAGCAACTACAGTTCCACGCCATTTCCGTGCAAACACGGATAAAAATGCCATTTCCGTGCAAACACGGATAAAAATGCCATTTCCGCGCAAACACGCATAAAAATGCCATTTCCGCACAAACACGGATAAAAATGCCATGTCCGCGGCAACACGGAAAAAAATTCAGACTCCTCCTGCAGTTCACCGCTTGGAACATAATACAACAAATATAATGTGTAATGCAACTCGCACACCCACCGTCTTCACCCGAATAGATCGCCTAGTCGTTATAGCCGTGTATTTTGTGCAATTTTCAGTCAAGAAATAGGGATAACCGCCAAGCGATCTGTTTGGTTGCAAATAGTAAGCTGCAACCTGTTGCGCCATTTCTTTCGGTTCCATTGCGACGCAGTTCACGTACCTAACGCGTAGCAAAGACCTGTTTCGCTTTTCGACTTGGTTCTTCGAACCGGAAGCACTTGCATATACGGTTCGGGAAAGGCTCTCTGATGCCTATCTATGTATGAAGCCGTCAGTTATGCTATTTCACTCGAAGATTTAGTAGGTTGGGTAGCGTTTGCAACTTTGCAATATATTTGTCCATTTTTGTTTTTTAGGCACCTAACGTATTTGGACATCCTGAACATTATATACCTGCAAATCCTATGTCAGAATATTGGCAGGTATGTACGTACCCTCTGCGATGTCACGAGTCAAAGTTTTGTAATCAGTCTCAGTCTAAATGAGAATGCTCTAATAAGAATGGTATAATGACAAATAGTCGGATGACATTTAGTCTAATGACGATAAGTCTCACAACAAGTAGTCTAATGACAACGGTTAGTCATTCAAAAGTGCTCGTGCATGCACATACCTCTGGGCAGTCACGAGGAAAGAAAAGAAAGAAAGGGAAAAACAAAAGAGTTCTTTTTTTGGGGGGAAGGATGGACTAATGACAATGGTCTGCATTTCAAACGTGGGTGTGCATGCACACACCTCTGCTGTGACATCCACTCACTTAGTGATTACATCATTACGCCTGAAGAAACCATTTTCCTCGAGCCACTGGTAGGCAGAGAGATGCCTCTTGATCGGCCAATGGCCACACTTTCAATTTTCAACAATACCACTTTAATTAAACACCACCCTATCTTGACATTTCGATTTGCTACAGCCAATCAAAAGGAGTAGCTGCAAACATCGAAAAGGACAGGCAGGCAGAACGTCCACAGACAGTCGTACACATGATCAATGAGTCAAGGAAGAGCCATCGACGTTGTGGCCTATGTGGGCAACACTCACTCATTTGAATGTTTGGCCACAAGGCCGGTGTTCCGAGAATGGCCATATAGCAGAAGCAGGTATCAGCTGAGAAACATCCACAACCCATATTATAAATTTGCACTCACAGCCACAAAAGACCACCAGTCAGACAAGGCACCCAGGTGCATATGCTTCTCTCTCTCTCTCTCTCTCTCTCTCTCTCTCTCTCTCTCTCTCTCTCTCTCTCTCTCTCTCACACACACA